GCTTATAGACATTCTGCCAAGAGGGATATCAAGGAAGAAGAAGTGATTTTGCGTTTTTCCAATTATTTTTCTCGCGAAAATCAAATAAAGTAACAGTTAAATTAAAATAGATAGGAGGTTTTTCCAATTATTTTTCTGGCGAAAATCAAATAAAGTAACAATTAAATTAAAATGAAAGGAATTAAATGAAAAGAATATTAAATAAAGTAACATTTTTTGCCTTTTTCGATGTTTCTCCATGTGTGGGTACCTGCCGTTTTGGGCCACTACTCATGGGCCACTTGGTTTGACAGGAGTTTAATAAGCTTAGTCAGTGCCAGATCATAGTCTACGTGGACCAATCACCAAAAGCGGCACCGGTGATGCACTATTTCGAGCGGCAGAATAAAGCGTCACCAATCACCAAAAGCTTAGTCAATGCTAGATCATAGTGTATTGGCCAATAAAAAATAATTAGTATTTACACTTTTAACACTCTTACAAACTGTTTGGTAAAAAATAATTAGTATTTACACTTTTAACACTCTTACTTACTGTATAGAATTCATTGTCAAAAGAATTCTTGTGTTTGGTATGTTATATTCAAATATTTAGAAATAAAATGAATTGAATTCGCAAACTAGGTTTGACATAAGTATATAATTGAATTAAATTGAAAGTTCCAACTATAGCCTTAATCATTTCCGACAGAAATAATATTCATTGAAAATCCATTTTCTAAAAAATGCTTTGGTCCCATAACTAGAATATCAAAATTATTCTTGTGTTCTTCTATTTTATTCATTAGTTCATTTCTAATATATCGTCGATGAATCATACACACTAGTTGTTGCAATCAATTTATTGTTGACATTCCTCATACTACATATGTTGCTGCCAAATAATATATGTAGAAGTAATTTAGTTGATAAATGAGGATAATTATGTTATTTTATTATAAGTAGTAAATACTTATGGAATACATTGAAAAATTTCACCTCAATTCCTCGAAATTCCTATAACTAGTTTTAATTCCGTAGAATTCAAAATAAATTCTTTTAAATATCAAACAGAAAAAAAAAATTATTTCGAAATTTTCTTTTAACTACTCAAAACTTATGAAATTCAATTCATTTATACCACCAAAGGAGAAGCAATGTAAACGTGAAAGATGGCCCAACCCATCCATGAAGATTGAAGAGTAGGGGTGGCAACGGGCAGATCGGGGCCGGGTACCCTGGATCCTTTGCCCACCCACCATAGGCCTCGGGTTTTGCTGTCCCCGGCCCAAACGGACTTGCGGGCCTTGTTGGATAATCACCCCGTCTCAAATGGGTAATCGGGTGCCCGCGGGTCCATTATACCAGCTACAAAACATGGAAATTTTTTTTTGAAAATGACAAAAATTATGGAAAACTAGACACTTTATTCATACTGACTGATCTGTCAAAAAGATTTGAAATAAACAACCGAAAGCTTGCCAAGCTGCAATTAACGCCACTAAGCCAGCAGCTCAGCAATAACAACCAAAACCAACATATGTTTCGTGTTTGTGATAGAAATGATCAAATGAACCAAACAACCAAAAAGTATCAGCCGACTCTAAATTCTAAATGTCTAATTACTATCCAAAAACAGTAGAATGAAATAGGTTCAAGCAACAACAGCGCAACAACATTCCATCCAGGTTTCAGCAACATCGAATCATTGAGCAATCATCCACCCGACCACCCCTGACCCTCATTCCAATCGATGTAAACCAGCAGACTAGCAGACATCAATTGAAACTGTGTAAAGAACACACAAGAGGAATGAATCAGTTAGTAAAGACTAAATGAATAACAAGTCTGCATCAACAACAACAACAAATAAAGAAGACATTTACCTTGGTCGCACAATAGATTACCAATCAGTCTTCATGGGCAAATGGTGATCTCATTAAGGTGAGTTCTGGACCTGAAAAAGCAAAACAATACAAATGTAAGTATTCCTCAATGAAGTAATAGAACACACTATGGAAAGATGATCTATTAATCTTACCACCAGGTTCTGCCTCTTCCACAGGTGTATCTTCGACTGTCATTGCTGAGAAGAGTCCCTCCAATGCCTCCACAGCAGCCTCTGAATCTGCAGAGAACTAGTTGAATGAGTTCATACTATTGTTAAAACTTAAACCAATAAACTTGAGAGTTTTAGTTGCATGTTACCTCGTTGCATGTCCTCCATTATCCAACTCCTAGTACACATCATTGCCTCCACAGTCGAATAATGCAGCCTGCTCCAGTGAGGGTCTAACAACCTCCCACCATAACTAAATGCACTCTTAGAAGGCACAAAAGTAATAGGGATTGCCAGAAAGTCCCTTGCAATTGATTGCAAGGTCGGATACTTGAGACCATTCAATTTCCACCACAAGAGCATATCAAACTCTGCTGTGCGAGGAATGATACCCTCAGCAAGATACATATCCAACTCAGTTGTAATCAAGGAAGTCTTACTCTTTTTCCTTTGACTTACAAAGAGTTAAAAGTCAAGTTCAGTGGCAGAGGAAGATCCAGAACTAGAAGAAGAAGTTCCAGTTTCAGAACCAGATTTCTTCTTAGCTTTGGTTTGATAATCACGAATCAAACCACATATCATTTGCTTGATATTCTCAGCAACCAAACCAGTTTCTGTATTCCCAAACTTTCCAGCATAGTATTCAATCACATGGAGTTTATATCTAGGATCCAAAACAACTGATACAGTAAGCACAAGATGGATATCATCCCAGTACTTTTCAAACTTCAGTGACATTTGACTAGCCATTCCAAAAATCACAGGATTTGGATCAAGACCCCACTCATTCAATTTAAGTCTGAGATCACAAATCTTGGGGAAGAGCAGATTGGCAGTCGGATATATGGAACCAGAGAACAACTCAGTAATCTCAGAAAAGATTTCCAGCTTCCCAATCACAGTAGAAGCAAATTCTCATTGCTCACTAGAAGGAATTGATGTGTAATGATTGTCTCTCAAACTCAAACGAAAGAAAACATCCTTGTAGGGAATAGCAACAAAGAGCATATGATAGATGGAATTCCACCTAGTTGGACAATCAAGGACTAATTTTTTCTCAACAGACAGCTTAAGTTGCTTAGCAACTTCGAAGAAGGTTTGAACCCTCTTAGGTGTAGAATTCCAGTAAACCACACTCTCTCTAATCAAATTTATAGCATCCTTGATTGCATCCAAACCATCCCTTACAATCAAATTCAGAATATGAGCAGAACACCTCATATGAACCAATTTACCATCAAGCAACAAGTCACTGCTCAGAAGCTTATTTCTCATGTGAAAAATCATGGAATCATTGGTGGTACAGTTGTCCAATGTGATTGAGGACAACTGACCATCAATGTTCCAATCCAAAAGACAATCAAACAACCTATCAGCAAGCCTTTCACTAGTGTGAGGGGCTGGAACATACATAAATCTCATCATTATGTCATGGAGCTTCCAATAGTTATCAATGAAGTGACCAGTTACTGCCATATAACCCCTTTTCTGATTTCTGGCAGTCCAAAAATCAGTTGTAATTGAAACCCTCCCCAGGTTACCATCAATAATGGTCTGATATTTACCCCTTTCAACACCATACAAACTCAAAATGTCCTTTTTGACAGTGTTTCTACTAGGAACAGCGAATTGAGGTTGCAGAGAACAGCAAAATCATTTGAAACCCACATGATCAACAAGACTAAGGGGGTACTCATGGACCAGAATCATGGAACAAAGTTCCTTTCTCGAAACCTCATAATTGTACTGAGAAGCAGAGAGTTGAGGATTTCCAGAAGGTTGATAGTTGGGGCCAAGTATTTTTTGAGAACCATCATGTATCTTCTTCTGGATACATGTTTTGATATGGTTTCTCAGGTGTGAAGTTCCATTACTGGTTTCCCCACCAAGGGGTTTACGACAGTACTTACACCTAGCCTTCATAACCCCATTAATCCTAACACGGTTGAAGTGAGGCCACACATTAGAGGTTAACTTACGTTGAGCTTCCAGCTCCTCATCATTACCATTAACCAGATTAATTGCATCAGGAGCAGGTTGTTCAGGTTGAGGTTGGACAACATTTTCAGGAACATTGGCAGTAGGAGCAGGGTCAACATTCATAGCACCTTCCATCTGACAATAATCAATCTATGTGTTACTAATTTGATTTCATTTTAAAATGAATTACTGTATAAAATTCATTGTCAAAAGAATTCTTGTGTTTGGTATGTTATATTCAAATATTTATAAATAAAATGAATTGAATTCTCAAACCATGTTTGACATAAGTATAGAATTGAATTAAATTGAAAGTTCCAACTATACCCTTAATCATTTCCGACAGAAACAATATTCATTGAAAATCCATTTTCTAAAAAATGCTTTGGTCTCATAACTAGAATTTCAAAATTATTCTTATGTTCTTCTATTCTATTCATTAGTTCATTTCTAATATATCGTCGATGAATCATACACACTAGTTGTTGCAATCAATTTATTGTCGACATTTCTCATACTACATATGTTGCTGCCAAATAATATATGTAGAAGTAATTTAGGTGATAAATGAGGATAATTATGTCATTTTATTATAAGTAGTAAATACTTATGGAATACATTGAAAAATTTCAGCTCAATTCCTCGGAATTCCTATAACTAGTAGAATTCAAAATAAATTATTTTAAATATCAAACAGAAAAAAAATTTCATTTCAAAATTTTCTTTTAATTACTCAAAACTTATGAAATTCAATTCATTTATACCACACCAAAGAGAAGCAATGTAAATCGTGGAAGATGGCCCAACCCATCCATGAAGATTGAAGAGGATAACAACCATTGTTCCCAATGGGCCTTGGAGGGCCCTTAACTTCGATCCCAAAAAAACAATGAGTCCTAGTCCTAATCGTAATCCGACGACTACGAGGGAGCAAATGTGTGGAACCAGCCGCAGTATAAATAGAACAGAGGAGGCAAGCATTTGGGGCCTCGTATACCCACTCGCTGAGTTTGTTCTCCTAAATCCCTAGCTCGTCTGTACCACCGAATCCCTTTTTCCGGCGCCGTCCTTCAATCCATCCGTCTACGCCATGGCGACCGGCAACAACTGCACTTCGGAATCGGATATGCCAACACGAGTACTCCTTGGCCGTTGCAGAAAACAACCACGAATCGGTTCAAAAGCAACAAGCCCTCCTCCCACCACGATGATCGGCAAACTCGGAGACGATCTCCTCGTAGAGATTCTAGTTCGCAGCTTCCCCGATCCCAAATCTGCCTTTCGCTGCAAAGCCGTCTGTAAGCGCTGGAACTCCCTGATTTTGAGTCCCTGCTTCAATCGCCGTATGGTTTCTCACCATCAGAACGTGAAGCTGCACCCCAAGGAGCTGCAATCTGCCATCCTCAGCCTTCTGCCTCCCATGCCCAGTAGAGTTGGAGGCAGTCTGAAAGTCTTGGATTGCTACAAGGACTTGGTTTTATGCGGGTTTTGGGATGTAAATGAGGACAAGGGGAACATAGCAGGTCTTACTTGATCTGCAATCCGTTTACCAAGCAGTGGGTCGCTCTTCCTTTAGCCCCCAGGAAGCTAGATGGGTATTTATCACCGGTGACAAGGTTAGTTTGTGAACCCCTTATTTCTAATAAACTTGATCTAGGAGATGACCAGTCAATTATTTATTCCGAGTATCGCTGCCGGGTGGTGTGTATATATCAAGATGTGGAGCCGTTGTGTCTAAAGCTCGACGTGTTTTGTTCGGAGTCTGGAGAATGGATAAAAGATGCTCTTGTTCTTGACAAATACCTGAGAGTCGGAGCTAAATGTATAAGTGTGTGCAGTGGGGAGTTTTTCTGGATGCACACGAAATTCTGTCGAGAAAATGCTGTGAAATTGGTGGCTGGGTTCAATCCTTTCCGCCTTGATATACCTCCCGCTTGCATTGATACTTCTACATTCGCGTCAGAAGATATTTGGGCAATTTCGAGTTCACAAGGTGCTCTTCATGTAATTTCATACCAAACCAATATTGATCCTCGTCGTGTAATCGTTTGGAGACTAGAAGAAGACCGCAAATCTTGGAGGAAACAATATGAAGGGTTGGTGAAGAACCCAAGGTGCTGTAGCTATGAAGCTAACGATGAATCCTTTCGACCTTTTCTGCATCCACATAAACCAGAGATTGTCTTCTTCCAGTGTGGTGCTTGTGGGAGTACTTTATGGTCCTGCGATTTGAGAAGGGAAGAGTTGGAGTTACACGCTATAGTGGAAGAGGTGGATGGTAGCCATTCTTATGCTAAGGTGTTTGAGCCTAGGTTCTCTTGCTGGCCGACACCAATTCCAAGATACAAGGAGTTGCGAGGCATGTACAATGGAAGCTACAGTTTTTGGGCTCAGGGCAGCAGTGAAGCAAGATCTCCAACCCTCGATACTTGGTGATTACTTATGCTTGTACATTTACTTTCTTTTCTGCTATTTTTACAATTTTGTTTGCTTTTGTAATTTATCAATGTTGTCAAATCGATTCCATTCGGAGCTTATTCAGAGATTTCAGCACCCTAAAACAATAACAACAAAGCCAACCCTGATTTAAATTAGGAGAAATACAGATTGTTGCCTACTGCCACAAACTTCAGGTAACTGTACCCTATCATCTTTGCCATATAGGTGGCGTAACTTTAATCCTAAGTAGTCTTGCTGCTGATTCGATTATCTGGCCGAACCTAGACCTCTTTGATCCTTTAGCTTGTCTTCTTTGGTGGAGAACTTCTGGGTGGAAATCAACCTTTTTCCTGCTCGTGCTCCAAGTCTAGGAGAAAGTGGTGGAAGAACTCCCTAGAGCTTTGTTTTTTTTTTTCAGACTTAATAGGCATCCATGTGAGAAACACAAGCAGATAACAGTCAGAATGCATCAAAAGGCTCTGTTGTGCTATAAAGCAGTACGACAATGCCATTAGAATAAGAAATATATTCAAAATATAAAACCCGCTAACGCCTCTGTACTGTACACGCAAAGACCTTTGCACTGCTCATATAGACTCAAAATTCCTGTTCACTCCCCTCTGATTGGTTGTTGGGCAAGGGTGGGCCCTTTGTATCCCTTGGGAGCTTGGCGGGTGATCTTCAGTGTGCAGGTGGAGTTCCAGTTTGATTCTGATGCCTGGTCTGCTTTGGATTGTGTTTGGTTACTCTCTTTTGGTTTCTTTGGGTTGCTGCAAACTGGAGCTTGGTTTCAGTCGCGTTGGTCACAGGGAGTCTTTCCTTTATCTGTGATTTCTGAGTGATTCGATGGCTGGTCATGATCTTTGCTCTGAGGGGCTGGGGAGGTCGCTTCCGTTTTGTATTGACGGTGACGATGATTGACGTGGGTGGCAGTCAGATTGCTTTTTTTAGTTTTTCCATTTCAGGTTATGGATGGTTTCACATTGTTTTAGGCAGTATCCTGTGCCCTTTCGAAATCCGAAAAGCTGTTCAGAGGGTTCTTGCTTGGTTGGCAGGCCGCCACATCGCCAACTATCCGGCCCAGTCTCCCATATCATCTCCACTGACTCACCATAGAAGTGGAGAAGCCGAGGAGTCCGTGCATATCTCTTCCTCTCCTTTCCTCTCTGCCATGGCGAGGAGCACCCCACAACCTCCGGCTCTCTCATTTTTCTTCTGCGTTGGAGTAAGAAGCAATCAACAGATGGACTTAGGGGTCCGAAAGAGGAATCAGAAAGCCCCCGATTGACAGGTTATATTTTAATTTCTAGGTGACTTTCCTCCTCTTCTGATGAATTTGTTTTTCACCCCGTTCTTAAATAGTTCTTTTTCTCTCAAAAGGGTTCATTGATTTCTTTCTCAAATCTGGCAGTTGATGATGAGAGAATCGGGTTGCAAAAGACACAGATTTCACGTGGTGACCCATGGGGCGACGGCACGCGTGGGGTGACAGACTAGAAAAATGAAGCATGGGGTTGCCCATTTCCTTTACTGCCATCCCCGCCATAATCCTCAAGTTCCCGAAGCTGGCATTCAGCTTCTGTTGAATGTTTCATCTGGAAACCCGCACTCTTCTCCTCGAAGTTCCTCTTAGACATCAGCAAGCAGGTCTGCCGCAGTTCCATTTAGTTGTTACCTTTTGCTTTTACGTCCATTTGCTACTGCAGATTATTAATTCTCACTTTGTGCTTATCAGTTCTGCAAAGGGGAAGGCAAAGATGTCTAGCACACCATATCAAAATCTCAGCCCATTTTTCCAAATTGGTCAAGCTTTATCAGAAGAGGCAAGGTACTTCTTTTAGTGATCTTCATTTTTTTTATCTGTTGAATTCCACTATTATTTTATAATAACATTAGCTTAAGTGTGTTGGTTTGTATATTTTGCAGTGGGGCTGGACATGCCAACCCAATTTTGGGTGAGGCTAAGCATTCTTCATAGTGATGCAGGGCCTGCTTTGCAAGCTTCCGGCATTCCATCAAAAGATAATGCCTCACTTCTTCATAATCTAGGAAAATCACCCATGGCTGATAGCATTGTTGCTGTTGATGTTGCTGCATCTGCAGTTGAAGTTGTTACATCTGCTGCTGGTCCTGCATCTTCACAAGTTATGATGAGTGAAGGGCCAAATTTGTTGAGCCCATCCCAAGAAATGCCTTTTAGTGTTTCAAGCTCTCTTGGTGGAAATAGTGAGATTCCACATGGTTCTTCCCCATCAACCAAGCTGTAAGTTGCTATGTTTCTGCTGCATGTAGATTTCTTTTGCAGAGTTGTTACTGAATGGTCATATATTTTTGTTTTAGTTTGGCATCTCCTTTGGCAAAGATAATACTGGAAAAGCAGGATAATGCATCACCATAGGGTGACGCTGGTGACTCTCAAATTCTGCTCCATTTACAGTTGGGGATTCAGGCTCTAGTGTCAGGACCAGCAAGCCTACCCCTGTGAAACGTCGTTTGTATGATGCATAGAATTACTCTTTCTAGCCCCAGTAGTTCTTTTCTGAGATCAAAGGTGGGTATGTGGAAAATATTATAGTGTTGGTTATGGTTTTTTGTGTACCATCTGCCATGGTCAGATATTTATATGCTGACCTGTTTGTTTTCTTATTGTTATCTCCTGTGCAGGTGAATCTGGATGTGTTTCATGGTGTGTCGGTTGTTGCTGAATCAAGTTTGTGATGAACCTCGTTTACATATGGACTGTCGATCATGTGGCCAGGATAGATTTCCTCCACAACTTAGTGAAGTTGATGGCTTCTGCTAGGGAAATTTGGCTTTATTCTGTGGAGAACACCTATGTGAATGGTGGTTGTCGGTTATGTAGATCTACTATGGTTGTTGTTGCAGATGGTGATGGTTGGGAAGTCTAAGAACAAGTATCTGAAACTAATGCCCTGTTCACTTGCTATTTCGTTTTCTAATTTTCGTTGCCACCACAGAAATTAGGAAATATAAATGGAAAAACGTGTTCACTTACCATTTTGTTTTTATTTGGGAAAATGGTTGGGCAATAGATTTGTAGTTGGGAGAAAACGAGAAATACTTGTTTTCTGAAAATGTTGACATGGATTTCTCCCTGTTTTCCAGCGGAAAACAAGCCCTTCCTTTTAATGAGGCCTTCGTGTCGAATCCCCTCACTAGCAATAATTTGTTTATTTTTTTCTTACTTCCTGCCCCCTGCTATCCACCAGTCCTAAGTGCTAAGCTATTAACCTAATCGAATCTTGTATTCCCTCACTTAATTAAAGAAAAGTAACATTTTTTTTGGTTGAACGTATCCTTTTTTTTTGTCCAAGTAACCACCATATATACATCCAATCCAATCATCAATTTTAACTATGAATAGAAAAAGAGTACAAGAAATTTAGATCCAATGCATTAGTCTCATCTAATCCAGATTCTTTATAAATTCACTAATCATCTACGTTTAATGTACTGAACGACGTTAACAGGAAAATTTAATGATTTATGGTTTAACGATTAACTGCTATAACTTAAAAGACATATATAATCAAGTATCAGAAAACAGTATGAAGTACCTATAAGGTTCAAGAAATACCATTTTTACCACCTTGGTATCACGGAAAAAATCCAAAAGTACCGCTGTTTAAAAAAAATTCAAAAATACCATCCAACCCCAAAAAATTCCAAAAATACCATCTTTTTCAAAAACCGCCACCCCACCCTGCGGTTTACACGAAAATCGCTGGGCGGGGAGTGCGGATCGGATCCTGTGACTAAGGGGGTCCTTAGTCAAGAGACTAAATCCCTCCTAGCCCTTGGATATATATATATTAATCTAATGATTAAAATTGGAAAGGAATATTTAATTAATTAAAATGGTAGTTATGGTATTATAAAAAAATTGATTATTTTTTGTTTTATTCACTTTCCCCGCTCACTGTTCCGTGTCCACGGCCCCCTACGTCTCTTTTTATATATATACTAGCTTATTACCCGGCCCGTTGGCCGGATTACTGTATGTTACCCACTTGTGGAATGGGAGAGAAAGCAAGTGAGAGTGAAGGGATTGGGATTCCACTTGATTAGGACCGACCCACTAATCTGATTCTTCCCGACCCGCCCCAACCTAAAGGGTCAGAAAGAGTCAATAAGAAAATATGAACGGAGAGGATTAGTCATATATCTTGACTCTTCAGAAGTGGGTCAAACAGGATCAAGGTTGGGTGAGGGCAATTTTTAGCGCTAAGTAGAGTTCTGGGTTGAATAACCTTACTTGGGCCTAGAAATTGGTGCTGATGCAGACTGCATCATTGAATTAGTCCTGGGCATCCCTCCCCGTTGTCGGTCTGAATTCTAATGATGGCTTCATTCCTTGCACCAGCCATATCAGCGAGTTGTCATCTCGAGCATGATTTGCCTATGTACAAATGATACAATTAGAGTATGAAACTAAATTCAAAGAAAATGAAAAGAGAATTCTATCACATGCTAATAAATACACACATAATAGTTGAAGCTAAGTAAAAGTCATTACTCGCACATCAATTCTAAAAAATTACAGACTAAACAATGGCTAGAATGGCACTGAAACTACCAAGAATCATGGACGAAACAACTTGTCAAATTAAATAATCCTTATTCTGAAACTACCTTCTAAATTGAAATAAGACATGATCACAATTCATAGCTCTCTTCTCACTATGAATTGGTTGCAGCTCGTCCTTATCACTGCCTCCCAAGCTCAATTCAAACATAATAGAGACTGTTATGTAAGATAACCATATCCTTACTGATCATAATTCCTTTCTTCACTCCATTTTTTCCGGAGAAAAGAGTTCTCCCCCTCTCCTGCATTTCCCTTTCCCCCTCTCTTCCCCCTCTTCTTCACAAACCGATCCCTAAACCAGCAACAACAACACAAAAATAGTCTTCGCCTCTGCCATCTCCATCTACTGAACCGTTGGTGGCAAGCCAAGACTGCAGAAGCAAAATTTTCTAAAATCAAACCAAATTTTTTGAAGGAGACTCAACCACGAAAAAAGAGTAAAGCAACAATGCTAATAGTTCAGATGGTTGGTTTTGATGTTATACGTTGCTTTTGTTCTAGTCTCCTGTATATCAACTGCAACAGAGATGTTTCCTCCAATAATCTTTAGTGCACGATTTAGAAGCAAGTCCTCCTGTTTGTGTCAAACGGAAACATTCATGGGTTCTTAACTCCCCTGTTAGTGTAAATGCAGCAGCAGCAAAGAAGTTTGACAACACATCAAGCACCCAGGCAAAATGATACAATGCAGTAGGTGATATGTGTCTTGAAGGTTTTGAGTTACTAAAGTTCATGTTAAAAATAAACATGAATTAAAATGGATTATTCTATTAAGCAAACATCCCCTCTAATCATACAAAGATCAGATATCCAATTCACAAACAATTAAGCCATAAAAAATCATCACACATCCACCACCTTTGATTGCCTAAATTTGTTTTTTCGCAAAGTTATGGACTCTTAAGGGTAACGTTCATGGGTAGTCTGTTTCATAACTCTAGAGAGCACAGTAAGCAGCCACCAGCCAGACACAGTGTGGTAGGCGAATATGATTCTCAATTCACAATTTCTCACCACCGGAAGTAAGAACAGACCATAATAAGCGTAGCGTTCATGGGTGATCTGTTTCATAACACTACTACACAATTTGTTAAAAAAGAAAGAAAGGTATTTAGCATCACGACAGAACAACTTTTACAGGCCAACAACGACAACATGCTGCAACCACTAGAACTGGTATCACAACTCATAGGGAAAATCAAAAGATTTACTCTCAAATTAAGTAGTTACAACATCGAGCAATCGTCAAGCACATACACCATCACAAAAGTCACGAAACCTGATTCACAAATCATTCAAACATTTGAGGACATTTCTGCAAAGGTACAACTTATATGTCTTTTTTCCAAGCCATTTCCATCAACATGCTAATAAATTTGCAATGCATAAAACAAACGGGCCAAAACTTGAAATTTAGCCTGTTTGACCGACCCATGCCAAATCCTAATTATTCTTCAATTTTAAATTTTCTATTTGAAAATAAAAAATAGTTAAAGAAAAGAGATGAATGCAATTCGCCATTTGCACATCACTGATTCGGGAATAAAACCATAGAAATTCAAAAGGAACTGAAAATGTTTAGGATCGTTTTAATGTTTAAAATAACCAAATAGATCTTTCTGTTTAGTTTTTTACTAACAAATATCAAACGATTCCCTATAAAATACACTATAATTTGATCATTATGATATCAAATAATTATATAATATATATTTGAAATGATAAAAATTAGACTAATTGGGTTGGTCGAAGTTGAACCATTGAATAACTTTAAAATACATTATATTTTAGCCACTAAGATATAAAATAATAGCATAATATATATTATGCCAGAGAAAATAGTTTGTTTTAGAATGACAAACCAATGATGTTCATTTGTATAGAAACTTGACAAAGAAATAATAGTTATTTATTAAAAAAGCTTTTTATTCATTCTGATCAAGTGAACACATATGAATCGCATGTGCAGTATTTATAATGTATCCTAAGTTCACATTACTAATATTTTCTCTAGGTCATGTTGATTGAGCAAGCTCTATTGAGGTCTTACATCATATGCTAAGAAATTTTCTTTTCTGACTTGGAGTTATTTATTGTTAAAGATTATAAATTGAAGTTTCCAAAATGACTTGAGTATAATAGTTGATGAACTTTGACTGAGAGACGAGATCACTTGAAAAATGAAATTTGTGAAATTTAGAGAAATCTTTATTAAGGATGTACATTAAACATCACATTTCATGCTAAGAAAAATCTAAATTCGAAGATTGAGATAATAAATAAACATTAATGTTTTACTTCACATATATAACAAAAAATATTTATAGTTACAATAGTGTAAACCGAGCTATCGGGTCAAAAGAAGAATATTTAATAAATATGAGTTTAGTATACATAATATTATGGCAATTCAAAATTAAATTTTTGCCACATAAGCACTTGGAGAGATATCAAGTTGCCAATGTGGACAATTATTTTACCAAAAAAATAGTTATTGACCTATTTATGAAATTGTCCCTCTCTCTTCATTTAATATTTAATTCTCTTTTATCCAATAATTATTTTGATTTTTTTTTGCATTATATCTGTAAATAATATATGGAGAAAAAGGTTATCAAACCGGTTTAGCAAGTGGAATGGTTTTACCAGTGGTACAATCGGTTTGTGTCGTTTCATGACGGTTAATAAAATATATGTAGAAATATAAAAAATCGTTAATATCAAATGAATTTAATCATATATAAACCATATTTGAAGACAATTTATGTACAATTCATATTGATATTTGAATAAAATATAATATTTCAAATAAAATTACATGTACTCATACTTAAATTCACTAAAACTACGTATTTTACTAAGAAATTCGTAAAACGATCATACCGTTCATATATCACATTTTGTTTTGCATTATATCGATGTACGAAACAATATACTAATGTTCGTAGAGTGACATATATATCACACTTTTTAAACCAAAAAATATATGATTAAAGATTACTATGTAAATTTCTGCTCATTTTTACTAATACTTAATAATAATTTACATTTTAATGAATAATTTAAACATACTTAATAATAATTTACATTTTAATGGTAGCCATTAGATACCATTCATTAATTTATTGTTAAATTTTTTATTTTTAACAATAAAAAGGAATATTATTTTTGCCTTTTCATATATATTTTATCACCACGGAGAAATAAAAGGGCTTAAAGAAAAAAATTGACACTCTTGGACCCGTTTAAATCCGCATGTGTACGGTAAGTTGGCCCGTTCCACAGAGAAAAGAGAAAAAATTGACACTCCCTATTCTACCATTCCTACAAACGCTCATGGAGCAGGGAATTTGAAATGGGAGAAGAGTTTTTTCCTCCCTGCTATTATATGTATTTAATT